TGTCTATTTGTATGTCTGTTGCTATTTGGTACTACATGGGAGATCACCAGCCTGTATTTAGCTGCTCTCATGAGAACAAATGCAATATGATGCTCAGCTGACTCGGCTCAAGGTGATGGGATGGCTCTGAGCTGGAGATGGGCCAAATAGTTCGAAAAGCTGAGTATCCGCAATGGATAAGGTTTTTCTTTCTCCCCCTTTTCTGAGATACTGTCCAATCGATATCCTTTGTTGGAGAAATATGTGTACCCTGACATATTTAGTGCACTGGATTGTGGGGTAGTGTGTTTCACTCTTTGTGCAGGTGCTGCAGAGCTCTTGGCTACACAACAGTGATTTTCTTCTTCGTCTCTCCTCTTGAATCTTGTCTAATTAGGTTTGAGGACAATACGGGTGTTTTTGATTCGGAGAATGTGACACATTTGGCTCTTTGTGTCTGGAATGTGGTTCTGTTTCCACAGTACTTCCAGGTGCAGTGTGAGCAACTTCTCAGATGTTTAGCTATTACTCATTATGATAAAGGACTGCATTATCCTGTACAAAAAACTTGACTGTCTCTTTAGGATTAACACATTGTCTTTTTCAATACTACCACTAAAGGATGCTTACGTGGACAATTTCACATGATTCTATTTCAATAACTTTATAGTATTTAGAGCATTTTCCCTGTCTTTATGCAGACAAACAATATGGTATTGACTGGTCATATTGGTCACTGTCACATCAACTTGATGTTCCTACTGATGCTAATGTGGCATGGTCATTAAAAACTGCATGACATGATATGCAGCCATCAGCTCCGTCACAAAGTATTGTGGAACAATTACATTAATTAGCTTTTCTTCGCGTGGTCGTGTGAGAAACGTGGTGGCGTGAAGACTACTAGCAGGACTAGTTGCTGAGCTACTGTAGCTAGCATCCCAATGGCTAACATGCTAGCGCTAGTCACAAAAGCTTCTCAAGCTTGTTTTAATATTATTTGCACTGTGTAGTATAGGCTATTTCTCCCTGGCATTTTGTTTTTAGATAACAATTATGTGTTGGACTTACTGGCTGTCTTTTTCCCATCAAAGCACTGACAAGACATTTAGCTATTGATCAGAAGCAAGTTTTCGCTTGGAGTCTGAACCGTAGACTGCATGACATTTTTTGAGTAGCAACCTTAACCCTTTGGTTTGTGGACTGCTGTTAAAAACCTCTAACTTTGCATTTCTGCTGTCAATGTTGACCCTATTTGAAGGAGAGCGTAGAGCTGGGCCAAGCGTGGCCATGTACTGCAGCTAGCTAGCTAGCTAGCTTGGTTGGCAAAGTGCATTCCTAATTCATGTTAACTGTGATAATTGTGATGCTAATTTTGGCTTGACAAAAACATACTTAAAAATGGTTCTTAATGGAAACAAATGAACAGCTAAACACTTCTTCTTTAGTATGTCTTTATGTAAAACCGAAAGCTTAACAATGACATGATAGTGGTGCCGTGGTGACGGCTCGCTAATGGGAAGGTTGCCACATGATAAACCCTGCTTTATCGTCAATTGATCTGTAATCTGGGCCATCATTTAGATAAAGAACATTGTGCTGTATTTAAGAAGAATACAAACTGTGATTGAGACCACATATTGATTAGTTAACGCTTATTGAAGTAATATAACAATAGAAAGTATAGTTCCTCATAGACTTCCATACAATTGGACTACTTCTTGTTCGCCCCTTTTTGGTCATTTAAAAGATGCATGTTTAAGACACTTCCAGGCCCTGAGGACTGACCTCTTGATCTTGAATCAGTATGACAAAGAACATGTTTATCATTTTGGTGTGTTAAAGCAAAGACCCATTCCTGTCCTTAAAATGATGAGACACAGATTTAATGTGCATGGCTTGCAAGAATTGCATTGATAAAAAAAAGTATTTGATACCATTACTGGCCTTTGTGCTACAGTTTTTCTTCAAATGTTTCGTTTGAAGAGGGCTTGGAGAAACTGCAAACACTTCCTCTGAGGGCTATTTTGCTGATACACAGCTTCCCAGGCTTTCTAATGCTTTTTAAATGAGTGGCAAGCTCCAGTGAAAATACACACACATACACACACACACACGCTCCGGCCATCTGGCAGCAATTGCACGAAACGGAAACGCACATGTTAGAATATATCATTGTGAGAATTGTTTGGGTCTGTGTGTGTTTTTCTCTGTTCACACACAATAGTCTCTATTTGTGTTAAAATGCCTGCGGCTGAAAATGTTGACCTCGGAGCAAATCCACAGTCTGCATTTAGAGGCTAAAACATCAATCTGGGGTTTCCTTTTCCTTCATTTCTAGAAACAACTCTGTCTTCCATTTGTCGGTTGTGCTACAACTCAGCTAACTGGTAGAGAGAGCAGATAGTTGTGATATGAAATTGAGGTGTTCAACGGGACTTCTAGTGCTAATTAATCAGCATTTCTTTGAATCGTTGGGTGTTTTAAATGTAAATTGATAAATCACTGGTTATAATAGTTCTCTCCCTTCCTCCCTCCATCCCTCTTTCTCTTTGGTTGGTGGTTTGCTCTGGGCGTTTAGTCTGTATTCTGGGCCCTGCAGAGGCAGACTATAATTTACCCTTTGCATTTACTGTTTATATTCCACTGAACGTTTCTACAGAAGCACAGCATCGTTGGTGTCATAGTGAAGCTCTTTGTGTTGGTACCGTCCAGTGATCACTACCATACAGGAGACTTTGATCCAAATTCAGATTTACAACATTAAACAGCATAACTCTTTACTGCTCTGTACTTCAAAGAATACGTGGTATTTTCTGGTATTTCTTTTTTTCTGTGTACCAAAAACTACTTATATCCTTTATCCCTCTGTCCAATTGAGCTCTGTTGCTATCTATTTACACATCAATTAATCACAATGTTGCTCTTACATTATTCCATGAAGGTTTACTCTAGTTTATTTTAGTCAACCCCCCACACATCATCCTGATGCCTTACATTTGTAAACCAAATGTTGCGACCAAAGACTCCATATGGATGAAGCCACTATGATGTCACCAATTGGTTTGTTGGGTATCGTTCTTAGGCCCCAATTTTGGCAGTTTTTCAGACGCCATCTTGGTTGTTAGAACAAGAGAAGATGGAGATAATTACAGCCAAATGCTGAACAAGACATTTTAGGCAATTTAAAATGTTACATTTAATTTATTATACTGAATATAAATTTGAAAGTGTTGACGAAAACAGGTGATCGCATGGTAGCCCTGCTCCATAAGCAAACCCTGCTTTGTCGTCTATTCTACTTTAAATGGGACCAACATTTAGAAAATGTATATCATGATGTAGAAAAGAAGAAACCAGAAACTAGTTATTGAGACCACAAACACATTAGTTTACATTTGGGTAATAAATCAAGAGGGCAGCCAGATCATTTTTTCATAGACTTCTATTCTATCGCACTGAACATTATGTTGTATTAAATATTACCTATTGTACTAGCCATTGAGACTATTTGGTTGAAAAAATTAAATATTTACTTAGGTGAAAAATCAAGTGAGAAGTAATTTAATTTGCAGGCTGTACAAAAACAATCCATGTTCAAGGCACTTTCACAGTGGCTTCACTTTTCAAACCTTGAGGTTGCCTCTTGGTTTTGACCCATTTATTTAAAGATTTACATCTCCAGTAAAAAGGCTTAGGACCTGTGAAACTGAGCTGTAATTGGAGTGTGACTAATTACAGATGATGATTCACTCAGTGGGCTGTCAGCTGATAACAGCTGGGGGATTTAACTTTAGTGTCCTGCATGAGCTCAATGCTTCCTTTCTCCAAATGTTCCTAGAGTAAAATGTGGTCTCCAGTTTAGGTTCTTTACTAGTTTGGACAAGAACATATTTCATCAAAAAATAAGTAAACCTAAGGATCTGACCGTGACGTTTTACAGTTTAAGGGCTGTTTTTCGTCACACGAGAACAAAGTATTGAGGTTCAATAATACCTTTTGCCACTTTTTGACATTACTCAAATCTATGTGCAACAAAGTAGTCCAAGATATACTGCATTTCTGCTCTACACAATGATGACAAACAGAGACAGGGATCCTACATCTAGAATAAAAGCAAGCTAAATACAGTTGTAGACTACACTGACACAACTGAAATGTTGACTTTATTTAAGTGTATTATGTTAACAAATGTCACATAAATCAGGTTAGTTGAAAGCAATACTATTAATTTGAACCTAATATTTTGTATTTAAACCTAATAATATTGCTTTCAACTGACCTACAGTTATGTGAAATCTGTTGACATAATACATTTAATTAAAGTCAATGTTTCAGTTTACGTACAATACTACAGTAAAAAGTGCCACTAATCATTTCCTGTTTGTTCTGCTACATATAGGTATGAGTGATGTTGTAGACTGAATTAGTTATGCTTCATTTTGTCACATCTGTGCATGTGTGGTAGTCTGCGGTAAGCCAAGCCCACACAAGCTCATGACATCACGGATTGCTCTGATGTTTTCTTCTTCTGCTCTTTGCCATGAACCTCTGTTTTTACCTTCATCTCTCTCTCTTTATAGCCGACCCTGAGTGTCCACCCACCCACTTCTTACTCTCTTTTAGTTATCTCTCGACTCTCTTTCCTTTCTCTCTGTCCCCAATTTCTCTCTCTCTGTTGGCCCTGTCCTCTCTCTCTGTCCATAGCTCTATATGGCATTGAAAAAGAGAGTTCCACGGATGGACTCTCTGGTCTTGGCTAATGGAAGCAGTCCTGTCTCTTTGTGTAAATATTTGCACAGAGGGATTATAGATGGTCCCACGCATTCAAGGTGGAGCCCCACTCTGCTCCACCAGGCCACATTAGGGCAAAGAATGGCGCTGAGCGTAACTGCGACATAGCATTTCAGGAGATGATGTGACCGGACACAACATTAAAAAATATCACATTCTGAGGTACAAAGTGTTGCAGGTATTGATCTAACTTTCTGTTTCTCTCTATTTTGTTTTTTTCTGATCAGGCACCAAGCAGTGACCATCCTCTCAAACATGTAGACACCATGGTGAGTTTCAACTTGAATTCCTTTTTTTTCCACCAACTTTTTTTTAAAGTTAAGCCATCTCTTTTGCTTAGATTACTGAGCTGAAAGAGCACATTCATCTGCCTCTATGACACATGCCAACAGATCATGTATTTGATGTAGGAAGGTTATTAATAGTGAGTGGATAGAGGAGTTCCAGCTGGCGGGAAAAACAGCTGCACTGCTTTTACAGGAAGTATATATTAAAACAACTAAAACATGTTGATTTAATGCTTTAGAACAACCTCATATGTACACTTGATATGATACAGAGATACTTGTTAACTGTTGGCAGTATGGACTGGCCTCAGAATAGTACAAATCCAATTTACTGCTAAACTGTTGGAGTTTCCAAAAAAACCTACACATCACAAGTACCAGCCTTTTGTTCCTAGATGATAACCAATGTATCCAATTGCCCTACTGAAACTCAAGTGTTGAAACAAGACGAGCGGGGATTTCTGTGCTGGGATTGCAGCCAGGCAGCTGATTCTGTTCCCATTAGACCGATTTACTTGACGTGTTTTCAAAGGCAGACACAGTGTGGATTTGTCAGTGCAATTTAACCTGATACAGAAGGATCTATTTGTGCCTCCTGCGGTGCACACATACATGCATAAGGGTTAAAGGTCAAGGTCAGCGACATCATTTAAAGGTTTACTAAACTCATAAACCAATGTCAGATACATATTTAAAACCATAATGATACCAACCAACTGACAAACAAATGGGACATACTCTATATCCGTAGATCAACTATAATGCCAACATTTCATAAAATGCTTGCTTCATACATTATCTTCGTATTGTAACAACAGTATGGTACTGATTAGGGATGGATTGTGTTTATAGCAAATTAATTATGGTTATGATATGGGTTAGGTTATGCAACTTAAACATTTGGTTAGGCCTTTGCCAACGATTGGAGTAAAGGTCTCTTTGTATAAATATTTAATAACATGTACGTAAATAGTGGGTTCAATAGAGGCAACAAAACAACAATGGCCTCTATTAACCATGTTAGCATAGATGCTGCATGTAATAAGAGATGCTATTATACTTATGCTTTAAGTACCTGCCCTTTTCAGACAGTTTTTCAATGACAGTTTTTCAATCCATCTTGGGCATCATGTTAGATGATCTCTGTCCTCCCACAAAGTTGAAGATGGTAAACACCCATCCACCACTCTAGCCTGGTTATAGTGGATGTTAATGCCTTCACTGGGACTAACGTAGATGATACAGGCACATGCGCAGTAGCAAATACAACAACAATAAAATAATAACAACTTAGTTATTGCATATCCGCATATTTATATTTTAAGCACAAAAAAAGTATTGCTGCCTTAACATATATACAACATGCTTTGCCACTGGCCTGCATCAAATTCAGCCTGTGTCCAGTAACATTTGCTGATATACATATTGGAAAATAAATGTAAACAAACCAAACATCCTTGAATATTTCTCTGTCTTTATGCATTATGACTGCTTTGGGTTTTCACCATTGAAGTATTGTATTTCTATCCAGACACCCCAAGGAGTGATGGGTAATCAGACACACCTGACTAATTATATGACATCACCCGTAAGCCTACATATAGTTCCTTTAAGGAAGGAGTTATCATGGTTCCCTATGTGTATGTTAGGTCAACACACACACACAAAATCAGAGCGTGCATGTTTTCCTTGGACTAACTGGGCACTAGTTGTCTATGACACAACTTCCTGTGAGTTGTAGTCTGGGAAAGGAAGGATCAAGTAACCAAATTAGAGTTACCACCCAAGGCCATGTGCCCATTTTCTCCACAAAAGGACCCAAATATAAACCATTTCACCAGTGTGCTCTGTGTGTGCTCTGTGTGTGCTCTGTGTGTGTGTGGCTGCTGTTATTGGCATCCCCTGTGTTTGTCCTCAGTTTACTCATAGACTGCAGTACAGGACAGCAAAGCTTCTCCAGCCCTTCATGCAGGACCTGTATTTCAGACGTTTTTTTGCACGGCTCATGCATCTTCCCTCTTAGGTCATCATTTGGTTTGCACTTTAACTAAGGGGCAGAGACTGCAACACAGTCATTATAAGTGTACTATTGAATGCGTTTGTGTTGCAGGCATAGTGTGCGATCACGTCAGTGTAGTATGCATGTGTTGAAGTGTTCCATGAGTGCAAGTCTGTGTGCCAGTGCAGCTGCTGCTGTCTAGTCATGGGCATTTGCTGTGTGGTTACACTGTGACGTCAGGGAGATATATCCTCAGGGCATGAAAAAGGAAAAAGATTTGTCTTATGACTACATGAGCTTCTCTCGCTCCACTGGATCAGTTTCCCCCTCGGTCAGTCTTGTGTTCTTCTTCTCTGCTCAGTTGGTCATTTTCAACTTCCGCCAAAGAGGTTATGTTTTTGGGGCGTTTTGTTTGTCAGCGCGATAACGGAATAATAATTGTTCTTATGGAATGTGGTGAAAGGCTGTGGAATCTGACAAGGAAGAACTCATTTCTTTGGAGCAGATCCCAAATCACGGGTGATAGAACACACCAATTATAAGTAAAGGTTACGAGATAAGAGATTTGGCTTTGTCGGAGGGCTGGTTCTAGTTTATTTTTAATTCAGAAGGTTTCATTATAAACTGTACCTTAAAAAGTAAGGACACAGTACCACACTTTCAGTGAGAGATCTTGGTAAAAAACAGCATCGAAGTGCACACACTGAAAACACTGAAACGTTGACTTGGAACGTTTCAGATTGCTCAGTGCAGTTTGTGAAATCACCTGTGCAAAGACATTTGTGTCGAATAACCACAGAAAACAGAACTATTCAGTTGAATTCACACACACACACACACACACACACACACACACACACACACACACACACACACACACACACACACACACACACACACACACACACACACACACACACACACACACACACACACACACACACACACACACCCACCCACACAGTGGTGAAGATCTACAGTCAGCTGATGTTTGTGTGTGTATAAACATGCATCATACCCACATGTTTGCCTAAAGAGACGGAAAGGGTTAGCAGTCGCAATTTAGATCTGTACACAGATGAGAGGGAGAGGGAGGGGAGGGAAAAGTTGAATATGAGGGGGGAGAGATAACACGACGGGAGGCTGAGTGGGAGGGGGGAGGGTGACCAACACACAGGCAGAGCGGACCCAAGCCAGAGACAAGGAGCTGTGGAGGAGTCCGGTCCGAGTGGAGCATGCAGATGGACTCTACAGGCTACTGCCCAAAATAGAGACCTTGGGGATTTTTCTTTTCTTCTGCCGCTGTCAGAGAAAAGGGAGAGGTTTCACGGGGGAAACTTCACTGCCGGACAGAAAGCAGTGTGAGGCAGCTCTTCAAAGATGAACCGAGGAGGTTCTTTGAGAAGGCGGCTCTCCTCTCTGAGGGGGGCATGGCGATGGAGTACAGGGTACCTTTTCCGAAAGGTAGGACGCCATGGACTGAATTAATAGTTTGGATGGATTTACTCAAGTCGGGTCATGTCGCTTGTTCTTTCCTTGTCCGCTCCTTCATCGCTTGTTTTTTCTCTTTGTTATAGAACAGTTTCACTCGAGTCTTTGGCAGACTTTTACCAGCCCCCAACGTCTCCCTCCCTCCCTCCCTCCCTCCCTCCCTTGCTCTTTCTCAGATGGTTAATTTGAATGGCCTGCTTGTAAAGTCAACCTCCGCAGATGGTTTTCATCTGGAAACAGGCCTGCTGGACCCCCCACTCCATTTCCCACCTACTCCCCCATCGTCCTCCTCACCCGCTACCTCACCCCCACCCCTCCTTCCGAACACAAGTTCTCAAAGGAGAGTAACAGGTTTCAGGCTTCGGTTTGTGTGATGTTCAGAAGCTAGTGTTTTCTACTTTGCAATTAGAAATAGATCCATGAATGTTAGCCCCACAGTACAATCCATTCATAGAATCACAATACTCTGAACATCACGACTTCTTCCAGTTCTTCAACGACAAAAACATCAATGTGACCACAGAGAAAGTTATTGTTTTATTACCGACCATAGCTTCCCTGTCACATTTACATTTTCCCAGATGGTTGCAGTCTTACATAAATATTGTGGCTCATTAAATGCTCTGCACACCAATTCAGACTAATTTGAAGGAAAAACGATCAATTAAGTGCCATCTTTGTAGCACAATATAAACACCATCTCTTCAAAACTCTCCGACAGTCTCTAATTAGGATATTTGTTTGCATGCTGGTTGAAGTGGTGGCACCATGTAGTAAACCGGATTTCTCGGACATGTTAACCATGTCATTAGCATCATGTGAAGATGTTGTGATCACCTCACAGTGGTCCATTTAAGAGAGCTTTGGGCTTTCCCTGACTTTCATGCCCAACAAGTCCCACAGCGCTGTTAACCCTCCTCATGCTCTGCGTCTGACTCTCTTAAGGCTGTTTCTTGCTCATTCATCTCTGTCTCTTTTTGGCGACTCTGCTCTTTATAGCCTCTGGCAACATACTGAAACGTTTAGGCTGAAGCTCAGGCAGAAAATGGGGGATTTGCTTTGTGTCCCCTCAGTTGAGCCACGGACCTATATGAGTGGACGTAAGATGGAGCAAATGAATGCTGCATAGAGTTTGTTGGAATGAGTTGGATTTTCTTGGACAGAAAAGGAATTGGCAAAAACTCTATCATCTGATATGTTTATGTCTGCATTCGTACCTGTAGTATCACTATCCATTGAGTCCCCCTAAGAATGTGTACAGCAATTAAACCAATGTGTGTTATATGGGAACTCTAGCTATTTTATAATGTATGCATTTCTGCAAGAAATGGTCAAAATGCAGGAAGGCTTACCCCATTACACTGGTATATACTGTCAAAACATGTCAAGTATCAACCTCAACAAACTTTCTTGTAACTACTGTGAGTCTAACTTTGTTTCCCCAGGAAATAGATGGGACCAAACTGGGACCACATACTGTAGTGCTTGGCCCCAGTAACAATTACAATTGTTTGCCTGCTCCCAAACAAGAAATGGTGTCAAATGCTGGATAATCCTGCCTGATTTCTATTATTAGGAGATTTATTTTTCTTTCAATCTCCTAATCATCCGGTTCAATAGCTCTACTAGAGCGCAGTTTAAGATGGTTGTTGATAGATTTAATTCAAGACAAAATTAGTTGCAAAAATATTTTCAACTTTTTTGCTAAATAGTTAGCAGAACAACCTGAGGAATTCCCAAGCCTTTTACAGCTGACTTTGAATTATTAGTTTTTACGATTAAGGCCTGATTTTTCAAAACTTGGGGAAAGCATATGTCATGAGAAGCAGCTGCAAACGTGGTCCTTTTGGGATGCATTAACACATCAATGGAAGTTTATCCAGGAATGGGTCCCCTCATGATTACTATACTCTAATATGCTGGATGGTATCTCTGGTAAATGTGTACACTGACAGACAGCTTGGCACAGCAGGCTGAAAGTCATCCAAGGAGGCGAGCGGTGCTCCTCACATCGATGCCCAGCCAACCAGGGTGATCTAATGGATGATGATGGATAACAGCCCCCTCCTGTGTACATGTGACCCAATCACCACAGGGGAGTGAACAAGTCCACATGGCCTTTGACCCCCTCCTTGAGCTCGTTTGAGGGGGAGGCGAGGGAGACGAGGCATAGTGGAGACAAAAACAGTCAATCACCGTCAGCCAAACTTCCTCTGCAAGGGTCTCTGCTTAACTTTGCATGGGTGGCATGTGACGGGATCCTAACACCCAGTGTATACGACATGGCATCACAAGGTGCACTTTGCATACCTTGTCTAAAATGTGGCCTTAGATGTAAAGTAAAGCAAAATAATCTGGCCATTCTGAATACAACTTCAAACTAGGGTTAGGGTTGGATGAGTGTTGGCTGTCCATTATCCTGTTGCCAGCATATATCGGGCCAAGACTTCCGTGTGCCGCTCATTGTTTACGGTCTGATTAGCAACTTACGATGCTAGAATGGAGTTGGAGTTGAGATGGGACGTCTACAACTGGATTGTTTCAAAATAAGCAAGTTTAAAAGCAAATTTTAAGGTAATAAAAGCCTGTCAATGGGTTCCAAGATAGCATTTCTGTCAATGCATATGGCCTTTTTTCCTCTCCGCTCAAACTGCTGTTCATACAGCTTGGACTACAAACCGACTGCAAATGGAGACCGGAGCGTTTCCAATACTAACATTTTGTCCTTTATCCTCCAGTTTCTGCATTCCAGTTCCTACATAAGTTTTACCTTGATCACTCATTTCATATTGATTAATGCTTCGTTGAAGATGTTCAACGCCACCTAAAATGGAATGTGTCATCATAACTGTTGTAACTCATACATCTTGAAGTGATGTACCCTAGGCATGGTTACCCTTTACAGCTATACTTCAACAACATAAAGAAAATGGAACTTGTGGTATAATTGAAGAACAGTTTGGTTATGGGACGGCCTTATTTTATAAACCATGCACATCCACAATCATGGAACTATTGGTGACTTTATTGGCTTTATGACAATATATGGAAGCTTTGGTGTAGCTTAAAACTGATAAAGAACTGTTCAAAATGGTGGTGAAGGAAGTCGTTCATTCTAAGGTGGTTTCCAATAAGCTCTATTGTTTGTCTTTTTACCCTAGTTATATATTATGAAGCACTTTTGATAGTTTCAAAGTCATATGCATAGGCCTCTGTTAAAGCTCTTGTGTTTTCTTTGTTTCTTAGGGCTCAACAAAGTCTTCAAAGAGCATGGAGTCACGGCGCAGACCATCGAGGTAGGAACTCATCTCTTATCTTCTGTTCTCTTCCAGCTGCACATTTCCCATAAAAGGCTTCATTCGGCTTATTGGTCTGTCTTTTTTGAATTATTTTTAAAAGGCTTATCTCCACTGTTTGCTCCAAAAGCACAAAAAGATAATGAAGGAAGTGAAATGAATTTCAAGAACAACCTTATCACAGTCAGATATGAGGCATTTCAAAGGAAAAGATTGGACGTAATATGATATTTGCAGAGTTACCAGGGTTAGTGAAGCTACATGCCCTGCCATTGAACTGGACCCCACACTGTTCAGTTGGACACAAAGATATTTGGTGTCAGCCCCTCTCACCTCTGTCCTTAGGGAGTCACAGATGTTGTCAGTTGTGTAATTAATGTGTAAAACTCGACACCACAACAGCCCGTGCTGAAGTGTGAGTGACAGTATGACTCCCTCGCGGCAAGTCAAAGAGTTGATACAGAGTTCTAAAAACAGTTTAACGTCTGATAGCGTCACTATTAACAGTTTTAGATTACAGTCATTTTTCACCCATATAAAGGAAAATCAAAGGCTTTTCAAAAGTGCATAGCAGCTCGGTCATGTGACAGTTGTCTCTTGTGTAATGCTCTGGCTAAAGGAATGTATCCAATCAAACTAGTGGGTCCAGACAGGCTTATTTACATTCTGTACAGACAGATTTGTATCCGTATGCAGGGTTGTGCTGCAGAGCTGATACACAGATACGCACCCTCATCCGCCTCAAAAGAAACAAGATTTAAATGTAAGATTGAATAGGATAGACATTTTAGGTAAATAAACAAAAGTGTTTTAGTTTTGTCTACTTTGTTACTTTTGGTTCTAGGATAACAATTAAACTCATTCCCAAACATAGCTGATAGTAGAGCTCACACCACTCTGAAATGTAGTGCAGGTACTTCTCACATTGTTCTTTAAAGTTGATGCTATCCAATAGCAATCCTATTTATCTTACAGGCTAATCTACTACTCACAGGTAACCACATCTCATTTCAAAAATATAATTTCTAAAATAATTGTTCAAACCATTAAACACCACGAGTTGAGAGGTTACTCTTAACATCCATAATAACATCTAAATTTCAAAAGCTCTATAAAAATGGAGAACAAATCTCGACTGTCACAAGACCGCTACCAATAATTAAATCCGAACAAAACTAAAAGGTAATTGGATGGTCGATTGGCCTGTCTACTCTGAAAAGATACTCACTAGGAGCATAGTGTGAGTTTTCTTCAACTTAGATATGATTGAAATGTAGAACTCTACTAAAAACAGGATGAGGGTGACTTAAACTGCTTAAAACTAACAAGTGCATTTGATGCAGAAGACCAAAAATAATGCAGGACAAGAAGTATACAGAGCTCTACCGCTTTTCAAAACAAATTGGATCAGGCCGGAGATTTTGGGCCGAAAACCAAAACCATGAGCTAAAACGCTCAAAGGCTGGGTGATAATTCTCTGCTATTTTGTCATTACATGAGATACATTTTACACATAGTCAGATGATCCATTGTAAGTACAAACACAATGATTAGTGCAGTATTAATATGGAATAACTGTACTGATAACCATAATAATGTCAATCCTCAAGTGTTACGTTTCATTTAGACTCAGCATTGAGACTGTGAGAAATGTTCACCATGAGGAAGTGTAGGATCAAGGAGGCCTCTCAGTGTTTTGATAGAAGAGGTTCCCTCATATGACTCAGAAATATCTGGCGAGATGTTTAAAGGCACAATGTCTCAGGTTTCCTGATAAAACATTCACAGTCGGTGTTGATCCGAATGCACCAATGAGATCAGCACGGCTCTGAAATTGAGCGTGAGGAGATAACGAGTCATTCTTTAAAATGAAGAAAATGAGCAATCGCTTCATCTGTGGTGCTGATGAGAAGCAGGTTTGAGCTCAGCCGGTCAACGCATGCTGGTGTTTGGAAAAGAACCAAACCACAAGTCTACGACTGCAGCCAGAGGCCAAAGACATACAAAGACAGAGAAAAACAGAGGACGAAATGCAAAGAGATATAGAACAAAAGGGACAGAAAGAATAATAAAGACATATAAGTAAAATAACTAGAAAAAACCTTACATACAGTACCAACAAGGAATTGGTTACAAGATGATAAATCAATGAATTCAAAATGGACGAATCTAGTAAATGACTTACACAGAATGGAAAAGTTAACCATGAGAATAACAAATCTAGTTCATATTTTTGATGATACTGTAGATGTGAAATATAGAACACAACACATTACTAATATCCCTCTGGTAATATGTGACAATTAATAAATGTTCGATTAGTATTAATTATATATCCGTTTACTATATCCTTAAAGTCCTTTTTTTCTATGTTTTTTAAAATATTATTATTATTATTTTTGAATCTCTGCAAAATCTTAAAAAGCAACTTAAAAAAGAGGTAACATAAAAAGGTAATGCAAATCACAAACACAAAAACTTTAAACTAAGATGTTTGCTGCAACATATGAGAGAACATGCACTATGTCAATATAATGAATGTATTCATTTACAAACAGTTAAAAAGAGAGTACAATCATAAGACGCAATGGAGATATGTGAAAAACTCCTAACACAAACCAAATACCCTTAAAACGAATCTAACCCTACCATCACATATACTGCATGTTTCCCTCCATCACTGCAGATGCATCATTTCCAGTAAGCAGGTTGTGAGTGGCTCCAGATGTACAGTACTATGCGTACAGTATAGTAACCCTCAAGAGCTCCTCTCTCTCAGACATATGAGCAATTTCCTTCAGGAGCCGCGCACAGCTGACAAATGTGGGAAATATGCTGCAGTCTGGGCCCCTGGGGTCCAGACGCCTCCGCCCCCACCTCCTCATATCGCCGTCCCATAAAGTTCAAGTTCTGAAAAAGACCAGATCAGCTCTGGCATTTTAAAAAATTGCTCACTTTGACGTGAAAAATCCATCATTACCTTTTTAAATGTATATAAAGCTATCTTTGTGTTAAACTATTTCCCCATCAACAAGCCATGTTTCATAGCTCCAACAATTCTCCAGAGTAATATCTTTATTGAAGATAATGAGATAAGTATTGGATTTTTGGACTCTTATGCAATCAGTTGGCAAGCTTTACTGATCACGCTGCAGGTCTTTCTGCTTGGTCATTTTCTGTTTTAAGTGAAAGCTTAATTACAGATCGATCGAGGCATTTTGATCAAGGACTACTTTGTTTCCGACCCGATTTGACACCAGACCAACTCCACCAATAACCATCAGATTGTTGGTTTTTGAGCCTACGTACTGTAATCTTTGGTATGCTGCAATATTTTCACAATCCTCCATGTTTAATCAATTTCTCCTCGCTCTATTTCCCCTCTTACCCACGTCTAACAACACAACATGTGTTTAATACAGAAGAAGAACATTCTTTTCCCTCTGGGATTGAGTGATGTCATCGGGGATTGGGTATTTATATGCTGCGTTGCCTTATCCTTATTAGGATATTTGTTTCTTGTAGAGGTTCAGTGTCGTGTTGTGTGTATCTGAAGGGTAATTGGCTGCATTGAGAACATTCAGGACCTCAGTGTACCCGGTGATGTAAGCAGCCCAGGGGGGGCGCCCCAACTGTCAACTGGAGGGCGGGGGGAGCCTCGCTGCAGGGAAGCTGTCAGCACAATTTACATGATGCAGTTTAAACACAGTTAAATAAATAAAGGGCGGTGCCGGCCGTCAGCGAACCGAGCCCGGTCGTCAACGGCCCGCTGGCGACCGGCTCGGTTCGCTGACGGTCGGACGTACTGTGATTCTCCAGAACACACAGTTGGCCCCTGTGTAGCATATTATTTTCGATGACAGATGAACAGATCGCCACTGGGCTTTCAACTAAAGACACAGCCACGCAAAAACTGCGGCATTTGTACAGCTCCTTATGGGTACTGCAATGTGCCGGCGGTCTCGTTCAGGATCCGAAAATACAATTTAAATATTTTGCACACTTATTCCTAGTGTGCCACTGGTTACGGTCCCAGGGGTTGCCGACCCCTGCTGTAAACAGTTCTAATCCTGATTGCTTTCACTAAATTGCACTATTCATAACTGAACATTTTCAGCAATTGGCACTGGATGAATTGACATTCTGTCATTCCTAGTCTTTATAGTAGATACAAATTGCCTTCCTACTCATGAGGAAACAGGAGCTTTGTTTTGTATTTTTGAGAAACTATCGCACAACAGGATTTTGCTGTCGTATTAAAGTGCACTTGATGTACAGATAGACAAACATAAAATAATGGAAATCAAACTATTTAAAACATAAACCTCATATTCCTGCTTTAAAAATGTTTGCCGTACTTGGCTTTGTTTAATACACATGTGCAGGCTGTTCATAATAAGTATTATCCAGTATATTATTTTTCTGTTAACATGGTAATAGCATTGACTCCCAACTATGCCAATTTGACACTTCATATACAGTAGTCTTACTGCTTTTGTGAATTATATTAAAGGTCCCATGACATGCTTTTCTGGTTATTACCCGTCCCCTTGTGTATTATGAAGGTTTTTCTGCATGTAAACAGTCTGCAAAGTCACAAACCCTCAAAGTACACCCTGTAGCGAGTAAACCTCTAACACAGAAAAGACCTGTCTATGTCCAGAACGCCTCTTCCGGGGCCTATTGACGTCACTAAGTCCAAATGGACACTCACTCAGCCTGAGCTCTGCACACACACTCACTCACTTAGCCTGAGCTCCGCGGTGCTCATGCTGTATGAGAAACCAATGTGATTTTGGAAAATTGAATAATGTAAATCTATTCTAGTATACCTCAACAATGGAATTATGATCAGTAGAAATGGCCAAGACATGGGACCTACGTTTTTGTTGTTTAACTTGATTTACAATAAGTCACTTGATGTAAGTCGTAGGAGAAACATTGCACATGTATCAGATAACATTATAAGACAGACTAAATGGAATGAAGCAAACAAACTACCAGCTCACAGAATAATTGCACATTTAGATGTCCATCTGTATGATGACGGATATGTCCACAAGTGGATTGAAGATCAGAAAAAGAGTCCAAGGAGCTAACATCAAGTGAGGTCGAGGAAGGCCTGTGATGAAGGCTATAGAAAACTGAAAAAGGCATCCATCACATTAAACCGTTTGAAACTCACAAACATTAGACCCTCTGGTTCTCTTGTTATGGGTATAAAATAGTCAAAGTGATCATGCACCAGCAGGTCTTATGAGCTCATGTGCAGCATTACTTCTGGCTACTTCATTCCTCCCTTCAGATCTTTAGCGGTCCAGCAGTCCACCTCAGTTCTGTTTTTCTGCATTGATTGGCCCCATTGCTGTATGACCCCTCACCATTACCCACGTTGATGATAGTTGCTTCTGTGGTTCCTCTGCCAGGAGTGTGAGTCTGCTGCAGGCCCTGGAGGAGAACTATGAGCTGGACCTGCTGTACATCACAGAGAGGATCATCTCCGTGTCCTTCCCCAGCAGCGTGGAGGAGCAGAGCTACGCCGCCAACCTGCGGGAGGTCGCCTCCATGTTGCGCTCCAAACACGGACACAACTACCTGGTACACTTTCTTCATGTCTCCTCCTGCATATGTATAATTCAGGCAGGAAAACAGCGATTATCTTCGAGTCATTAGAGCTAGACACAGCTGATCTCTTTTAGACCCAACATCTGAGCTATCTTTGTTATCTGCAAGTGTGTACATCTGTTCATCTGATGCTGTTGTTACTATCTTTTGTTACTGTTGATAACTGCTTTTACAGTCAAGGTAAAACTTACCACACAAACCCACAGCCCTAAGATATATATTCTTGGATTCAAGCCACTGCTGCGGCTATTTGATACTGTTAAATACTTTTACTCTATGAATAGGGTGTGAAACATTCCTGCTGTATTAGTGTGTCATTTGAAACCTAGTGTGTATGTGTGTAAACGACCCTGTCTGCTACAAAATGATTCTCCCATGCAAGTAAACGGCATTGGAAACGTATTGATGTAAAAAAACACAAATAAACAAATTACTTTAAAAAAAGTGTCAAGTAAACATCATAGTGTGGTTATAAATAAGTGCATTTGTTACTTTATTTTGGTTTTGGATCAAAATTCAAGTAAACATTGACTTTAAGAACAGGCTGGTGTAAAACAAAATGATTTGTAAACTTTAAACGGTGAACAAAATTTGTCTAAAATGGATCCCTTTGACTACGTAAGTTCAGTAACAAAAATGTTAGTCAGATTCAGGATGGTTTCGTATAGCTAACCAGGACATATTGGTGCACTACAAAACTGTGACTGCTAACAGGTTCATTGCTTAACTCCAGTCGGGGTTATCATTTAAAAAACACTCCTGTAGGTGGTATGACATGGTTGTAACAAATGACTTATATGGTTGTATTGGTTGTTGAAGTCTATAAAATGAAAATGCCAAAGATTTGTAATAATGGTGTCTACCTTGTTCTTCTTGTTTAGCTCTTCAACCTCAGTGAGAAGCGTTATGACATCAGCCAACTTAATCCAAAGGTAGAGTGAATCTCTTCTCTTCCCTTCTCTTCTCTTCACTTATGTATGATATGACAATCAATCTGACTGAACATCTCCCTCCCCCCCCCCTCCCCCCTCTCTCAGGTGTTGGACTTTGGCTGGCCGGACCACCACGCTCCGGCTCTGGACAAAATCTGCAGCATCTGCAAAGCCATGGACACGTGGCTGAGTGCAGACAGCCACAACGTGGTGGTGATACACAACAAGGTGAGAGACGAGGGGCCGCTGCTGTGAGGAGGGTCTTTCAGTCAGCAGAGGGTGCTCTCAGGCTCCTCTCAGGACCCCCACTTTCCTGAGGCTGCAGCTGTGGTGTGTGTTTTTGTGTGTAAAGACTGAAACGCTGACATTCAGGGTGGAGTGTTTGTGTGTGAGAGTGTGTGTCTTTGTGTGCTTGTTCAGGCTTAGGAAAACACAAATTAGGGAGGTGAGGCTCGCCACTCATCATGGCTGCTCGTGTTTGTTTACCCTTTTACTCGTAACAATACCGTAAAAACAGAATTGACCAATACTTTCCTGTTTCTCTTGCATCACACTATACTCTTGTGGCGAACCGCCCTCGTCTGGCTCCTAATTATGCAAACCATAAAAAGTTTAACCAAATTAAACCACTCGACCGAGGTCCCTAACGTAATGCCCGATCGGTTTCACGTTAACCCCTCTGTTTCTGATTCTGTTTTGCAACTTGAGAATTAACCATGGGATCCGTGCCTCATTCCGACACATTCCCACAGGGACAAACAAGTCGGCTGCCATAACAACCGCTGTTGTTTTACTGCCAGTTGCGTAATGCTGATGATGAGTGCGAGCTCAGAGGTTGTGTTGGTCACTAAGGAAGCAGTTGGGGTTTCACATATCAACACATCATTTCCACTGGGCTCCTCTCAGCGATCTTTATCCTCCACAGTGGCCCTTCATGGTTGATGGACATGAAAAATAATTGCCACCTGTTACACTGGTTTGTTGCCATAGAAACATGTGCTTGGGCTTGGTAAACCACCCATTAAATGCCCAGGCAGTATATTTTTATAACATGAGTAGTTATATATTTAATTGAAATGTTGGAAATTGATACTACTAATGAAAGCAAGTCTTAAAAGAGGTACTTCACCAGTGTTACAGTCAGCCTACAGGTCTTCAGGGGTCATATTTAGCCTGGAACAACAGTGTGTAATGTCTTCTGTGGTTCGTGAGGAGGTCTCCAAAGTCTGAATAAAAACCCAGATGATGTCATCAGCTTGGCCTGGGATTCTGTATGTTACACTTTATAGCAGAAAGTTACAAACTGCAAATATGTAGTTTGAATTGAGTTGTGGACATTTACCAGGCAGCAGAGGCTCAACAAAAAGATGATGTTGCATTATGGGAAACATATTATGGTGCAATTTAAGAGGTTGACCCCAGGATATTTTATATTTATTCTTCTTACTTCAGAAGCTGCATAAATCTGGTAAACTACCGCAGTATGAACCCAATCTGAGCAGACTTTGATGTGCTGTAAAGGAAAACAAGTGATTAAAAGGAAGATAAAATAACTCCATCATGATGCCGATTTCTAAAAAGTTTGAAGACAAGACTTTTCATTTCTATCTGCAAGACAAGAAGCAAAACACTTTGAACATGATTGTTTTCTGAATGGAGTTTGGATTGACCATGGCTTTGCTAACATTGTACAGAGATGGGAGAAATACTAAGATATTTTACTTGAGTAAAAGTAGAAGTACAAGAGTGTAGAAATACTGTGTTACAAGTAAAAGTCCTGCATTCTAAATGTTACTCAAATAAAAGTAGAAAAGTATTAGCATCAATATATACTTAAAGTAGCGACAGTACAAGTAGTCATTGTGCAGATTGGTCCATTTCAGAATAATATATATATTTTATAATGATTGATCATGAAAGTGTTCTCAAAGCTGGTGAAGGTGCTGCTAGTTTGAATGACTTTGTATACTGCAGGGTAGCTTGTGGATTTACTCCAGGTGGAACTAAAGTCTGATTTAACACTTGATTGTATTTCACATCATTCATCCACATCTGTAAAGTAACTAAAGGTATTAAATACATGTAGTGGAGTAGAAGTACACAATTCACTTCTGAATTATAGTGGTGTAGAAGTATGAAATAGCATTAAATAGAAATACTCAAGTAAAGTGCAAGTATCTCAAAATTGTCCTTAATACAGTACTTGAGTAAATGTACTTAATTACTTTACACCTCTGACATTGTACCTGCTAAAGATTTATTTTTGAGTGCAGCTTCTAACTTTGTGTGTGTGTTTCGCCGATGACACTACTATCTGATTTGGGTGCGGATCGCATTGCACCAGAATAAAACGACCCTATAACCCCATCAAACGAAATGCTGATGATGTGGAACAATTACTCTAGGAGGCAGAGCATCATTGCCTGGAGGATAAATCTGTGGTTGACTCTTGCTTGATGTATGTCTTTTCAGGGCAACCGGGGCAGAACAGGAGTGGTGGTGGCCGCCTACATGCATTACAGCAACATATCTGCCAGGTAGGTCTATGATCCATACTACACCTGCAGAGGGGAACTGTGTAGCACACTGAGAGAGAGAGGAGTTGAAGTCATACAGAAATAGCGCAAATAGTAAAGGAGAAGTAAACCAGGTAGAATGGGGACACGAGAGGAAAAACTAAATGAAGCAGCATTGTTCATCACAAGACCGAAGCACACATTGGAACAGACGGAGATGTGATAAACACAAGAATGAGGGGCAGAACATGAGACCGGGCAACAACATTTTTATTTGGAAAACTATTTGATATTATAATTATAAGCAGAAAGCAATGAGTTAGCTTCTCACCAAATCACAAGACTCAAATTATAAGTGCCCACTTTTTCTTTATAGGATTTGATTTGAGATCTCATAGATAGGATGGCATTCTCTTACATAAACCAAAGAGATGTGAATTGTTAAATTATCAGAAGGAGCGCATGACTCTGTGTCGTTTCAGAAAGAACGCCAGGAACAAATGAAACACACTCTGTTCCCTGCAAAAGTATTACATTTCTCTTTAAACTCATTACCTCACAAATCGTTTTAAAGCTGGCGTGAAGTAGCTGTGAAAACTGAAGTAGCAGCAGAAAGCCCGAACATGAAACCACTGTGACATTTGCCGTATGGGAATACAAATGTTACGTAAAGAAATGGCAAGAAGGTGTTTTAATGTGTGCTAGGTTGCGGAGGTTATGCAGAATTAGCTGTTAGAAATAAACACTGAGTGTAATTTAGTCTGCAAGATCTTAAGATGTGTGCGAGACACACTCGGCTGAACTTGCATGACATGATAGTAAACACTAGGAAGGTCTTCATTGAGATTTAGATTTATCTGGCGATCTGTTCTAGTGAGAAATTCTCTTCTTTTTTGTTTTCCTTATCATGTTTGTTGTGACAGGTGCATCTCATGCTATTATGTATTGCCTAGTTATGTGTTGACCCCTGTGTATACTGACATAAAGAATGCTGAAGGATGGTGTTGCATGAACATGCTTTCATTTAAAAAAAAATATTTAAAAAATGTTCATGTCATTGTGTGACGAATGCATGGCAAGGCTTACTATGAAAACATCCTATGACGTACTCTACATACTAATATACTTGAAATCAGAGGTGGAAGAAGTAATAGAACCATTACTTAAGTTAAAGTAGCAATACTAGTTTGTACAATGAATCTGTCACAAGTAAAGTTCTGCATTCAAAAAGTACTCACTACACAAAATAGTCAATTTCAGAATGATGTCCCTTTAGTTACTGGATTATGATTATTGATGCATTAATGTGTTCATTACGCCATCAAAGGTGGAGCTAGTTCTATTTCTTTTGGATACTGCTGCTGAATGTATTAACCTGTCATTACTTAGCATAGTTCATTTGTTGGTTTATTTATATTTTGCATTAGCTAATAATCTGTCAGATAAGAGTATTGAGTACAATATTTGCTTTGAAATTGTAGTGGAGTAGAAGTATCAAGTAGCATAAAAAGGCAATACTCAAGAAAAGTACAAGTACCTTAACATCAAATTTACTTTGATCACATTCCGAAATACCGTGGATTTACATTGCTTGTACTCCAGTGGAAATACAAGTGCTTTTTTGAAGGTACTTTACTTCCTGTGTACTGACGGAACCTCTCTGTTTGAATGCAGTGCTGACCAGGCTCTGGACAGGTTTGCCATGAAGCGCTTCTATGAAGACAAAGTGCTTCCTGTGGGCCAGCCATCCCAGAAAAGGTCAGTTGTTGTTTATAGTATGAGTTTGACCCCAGTGAAATGTCTCTATAAAAAACCCTGTGTCTTTTTAAACCTACAAATATTTAAAGCTGGGTTTTGGATTTGAATCGGATGTTAATATGTCTGACTTGTTGTTGAATGTATCTGTCTGCTGTTTGGTGCTGGGCTGGGAATGTAATATCTGTGGGTTGGTCACTATCAACACTCATTGAGTATAAAACAAATATGTAATAGAATAAAAACAAGGTAGAAGGTTGACTTATTTAGCATGGCTAAAAACATTCATTGTTGTTGCGAGAGTTGAGGGACAAATACTGCGTCAGAATCATACCTTTATCCTTTTATTGAGGAATTATAATTGGAGTTCTCTCTTTATTTATCTTGCTCAGGTATGTGGAGTACTTCAGTGGCTTGCTCTCTGGACATATCAAGATCAACAACAAACCCCTGTTCCTTCACCATGTGATCCTGCACGGCATCCCAAACTTCGAGTCCAAAGGAGGTTAGTGCAGAAATGCTCTCACACATAAGCAACTTCACATAAACTTCTTCATTTTGTAACTTTTTCAAAAAATTGTGTTGCAGGTTGTCGTCCTTTTCTCAAGATCTACCAGGCCATGCAGCCCGTGTACACATCTGGGATTTAGTAAGTCTTAAAACACACTCTCACTCAAATGCTTTTACAAGATTCCAGGGATAGCTAGCTCGTAGTGGCTCAATAATAAAAAAAACCTGATTTTCCTTTATAGCCTCTCCCTTTACTCCCCTTCCCCCCAATATCCACATTCGCCGTCACCCCTGCCAGTTTATACTCTATGCTTGCCTCACATTATTGTGTTTAGCTAGCCTCCCCAGCTGCAGGCTCTTGTTTCCCTACTTTAGATCCCGCAGTCACTTCTAGTGTTATTTGTGAAACAGTTAGACAGGCATCCGTGTGGACGCCTGCAGGGTATGACTGCCAAAAGGACCCCGATGGTTCCCAGAGCCAGACAGGAAATAATGGTTTCTATGATTTTTTTGTTGTTGTTTTGGGAAGAGTGGAGGTTAAGGAGAGGATAGCAGGGGAGCGCTGCCCTCAGATTAATGAGGCACAGGCCACAGTGATACCACATTTAAAAGCATTTAACACATAACAGACAGACTGTTTTATCGTGGTGCACAGTGTGCTTGTTCTTATAGGAAAAACATGCATGCAGAGTTCAGACCATGCTGTTTCCATACTGTAGCTAAAAATGCAATTTGTACACCTCCCTAGTATTTTAAACTTTAACAACTTAATACATTAACCAATAAGATTCATATTGTGTCACCTACTGCAGCTCTGGACCTTTTAACAAAACTGTTCATGAACAATGATATAAAGCTTTAACGCCAAATCAGGTGCTTTTGTGAAAGCGCCAGCACTCATAGAAAACTTGCATTGGACAATCCCGTAACCGGCAATCCAGAGCTGTACAACCCTGCAATGAGGGAGTACACAAATGTTAATTGTCATTAAGTAACTTGCGTTATTTGGCCATTATTTAAATGACACTCTCAGACCTCCGCACAATCCATCACTAATCTCCGCAGAGGGTGGTTTGTTGTGAATGGACCCTAACCTTGGGGACAGAGCAAAAAGCATTTATATATTATCACTTTAAGAAGTTTGAATGCCTAATGTGTTTGCCAACCAAATAACTTTATTTAGAGGTTTGTTTCTGTCCATCCGATTAATATAAGTCCAATATCAACTGGCCTTTAAGCTCTGTTTTGGTCTCCTCCTACTTTGGGTAACATCTTGCTATTTATCTGCTAAATATCCAGTGAGTTAATCTGCTAGAATGCTAAATTAAATATTTGTCTGTCATTTGATACTGTACAAGTAACATACAGAGTGTTTATCAGAGCCTTCATGCTTGAAAGTGAGGGCCGAGTTTGTAGGCGAGAAACCAAAACAGTTAGCTAAAAGATGCTAAAATGCTTCAGATAACCGAGAGTTGTTAATAATCCTTTGTAAATGTGTTCGTATAAAAGACACGTTTAACATTACCCATACCAATTTGCATTATAAGTTTCTAAATATTTCTTAGTGCGGTTTAAATTCCCTAATCCCTATCTCCTGCCTTTTACCCTATCCTTGCTTTTGCCCTCTGAGTTTAAGGGTGCAGCTTTTCTGAAACGTTGTTAAAATTGTAACTGTAAACAGTGAAGCCTGCTTGTGTGGAACATGTCTAGCGTTAATACATAAACACATTTACAGCATACACCATAACTAAGTGTGACATTAGTGCGCATACATTTCCAGACTGTCGATCCGCTTAGAGCCCCAAATCACATTCCTCCCCCCTTTCTCTCACATGCTCTCTATTAGCACCCTCCACCCTTTGATCCCTCTCTCCTCATGTAGACACTAATACCCAAAATTAGCCAAGCGCTGCTACGCCCTGTGATGGCCACTGTTCAAGCATATACCTGATTGTTAGTAGACGATGTAGATCATGTGAACATAGTTATACCCAGACAAGTAACATCAAAAAGAAAATGATGTAGCGGAGTTATGTTGGATTAGACCAGTGTTTCTCAAAGTGGGGGGCGCAGAGGCATGACAGGAGGAAAAACGGTTATTAAAACGGTTATTAAAAAAAAAAATAAAAAAAAAATCCTAATTTGAAAAATTATTGATTCGAAAATAATATGATACATTACAGTACAATTACTTCTGGGTTTCTGTGTTTCATTCAAGCTCGGCTCTGTGTGTGTGTGGCACGAGCCATTTTGTGGGTGTGCGCGAGCGAGAGAGAGAGAGAGAGCACACCGGTACCGGAGATCGTTGTTGTTAGCTTCTGGTGCTAGCGAGCTACGCTAACAGATATAAGGAGCTTTTTCAACAACAAGGTGGAGGAGAGTCCTCTCCTGTTAGACTGCGAGGCTCAGTGAACTAAAGCAGGGGTTCCCAAACTTTTCAGCCCGCGACCCCCAAAATAACAGTGCCAGAGACTGGCGACCCCCTGTCAACGGGGGGGGGGAATTCATTTAAGTTTTCCGCACTCTCGCGGGATGATCTCCGCAATGGAGCGAGCTTAAGTTTTAAGCGATTTGTAATCTGTTCTAGAAAAACTATGTGTTTTTTTGGATTTCAAGAAGCATACAGAACAAACAATGGATGTATTTTATGAACATTTATCCATGCTGAAATTAGATTTAGATGTGTTAGGAGTGAGATAGAGATAATTATCTAATATATGCATCCAATTGCATGAAGTCTGTTGATGATCAGAGGCTGTTGTTGGGGCTGCATAAACGTTTTTTATTTTTGTTTTGTAGGCAGACCATGCAGGCCTCAGAGAGTTAAACTTGGGCCTGCGACCATAGTTTTACTGTATTTTGTTTTGAAAATCCACAGCGGAGGTTTGTGTCGTACTATGCGGTGTGTTTGCATATCTCTCAGTAGCCAACAATCTGTGAGTCTGTTGGACATAAACTCCGTAATAAATGTAGTCTACATTTCATAAGAGGTGTAAAACTTGAGAGCATTTTAAATCGCATTTGAACTAAATGTTTATATAATCTGTAGTTGTATTTGTATTTGATTTATTGTGTGAACGAGGCGATGTAGAGAAGGTTAAGCTGTCATTATTAGGCTGTAATTTGTTATATACTGTTGGAGTGGTAAGCCGGCCTATTGTTTTTGGATATTTGTGGAGTTAGGTGGTCCGTGAGTGTTTTTTTATTGGTTAAGTGTCCTTGGTATAAAAAAGTTTGAGAAACACTGCGCTAGTGGATTGTCAAAGGGGGAGCCACGTTGCGGGGAAATTATACAGATGGCTAGTCCGCCCCCCGTCTATGCACACGTTATTATTAATAATAATAATTACCAAAAAATTGATTAAAAAAATTGACAAAAAAAATGTTTGTAATCATCTCGCGACCCCCACTTTGGGAACCCCTGAACTACAGTAAAGGACTCTCTGAGTGTTTAGATAGTTGACTTTAGTCTAAGTTATCTCAGTGGGTCTCAAACGTTTTGATCACGATTAATGTAAACAATTATTTCCGAGGCACACGTTTATATGATCATTATAGTTCTAAAAAAATAAGAGAATAAATGAAAAACAGGTATGAAATACTATATGACAGTAAAACAAGAATAGAGTTTAAAAGGGGAGTGATTAGTAAAATATCCATAAAGAAAAAGAAAATCTGTTTACAGTTCTGTTTCATATGGGTGTTGAGAGATGTATCCATAGATCTCTTCATTTTGTTCTCAAAGTGCACCAGATCGATGCTTTTAACTTCAATATTTTAAAACAAATCTTCCCGGGGGAGCATGCCCCTGGACCCCCCTATGTGAGGTCCACACACCACCTATAAAAATAGCACTTTACCCCTGCTTACACCTATATGCCGTGAGCTGATTATCGAGCCTTCATTGTAACTGTCGCAGGTACACTGTGTATTTGCGTGGGGATTGTTGCAGTAGAAAATTCCCTCTATCCACCCTCTATGAAACGTCAAGCTACCCCACACCACCCCCAAAAGAAATCTCTGGCGCCGCCACTGAGCCTGCAACCCCGTTTTGAAGAAATGTGCACTGCAAAACAGGCTCATTGCAGCCACTCTTTTCATTTTTTTGCACAGATTGCAAAGTGGCAAAGTATTATAACTTATTGTTCTAGCAAAGGGATTGCACAATTGCATTATGTATTTATTTTTTTGACCACACAGACTTATGGAGCATTGTTTTATTATCACTGTTCTAGTAAAGTGTTTTTTTTTTTTTAAAGGAATGCTCACGTTCATATTGATGTATTTTAATAAATGTTAACTTGGCCCATTACGTGACTATTTGTGTTGGGGGGGCCTGACAGAAAAGGTTTGAGAACCACTGGATTAGACTGTGATCATTTTACAGAAGTAATGATGGAGACAGGCGTGTTATTTAACATGTTGTGGTTTCTTTTTTTGCAGTAATGTTCTGGGTGACAGCCAGACCAGCATCTGTATCACCATTGAACCCGGTCTTCTTCTGAAAGGTGACATCTTGGTAAGAAAAGCCAAGACACAGAGACAGAGAAGGAAATCTTAGTAGTACAGTATATACGATTTTTAGAACACATTGTTGCATTTCAACTTGGAAAAAAGAAACTGAAAACACTTAGTTTCCTTATGTCCCCGGGTTAACTCCTATGTGAAACTAATAACAGAGAAAGTTTATTGTCTTACTTATAAATACAAATAAATGGATGTCAAATGATGATTATCTGTGTATGAGAACAGCTGCAAAAACGTACAGATGATGCACTATTTTATTATTTTTTAGTACAAAGGGAATTGACTTTTTTTCTCCATTCTGACATTGGGTGAATATACTGCTGCAGCAGTTTATGGTGTCCATTCATAAAGGAAATAGGGCCATAAAATCTCAGGGGAAGATCGTTGACTGGTTCCTATACCTCATTTTATAGACTCATTAGCACACAATATGTTTGCTGGAAACAATGACGTCAAAAAGGCTATGCACAGACTTCCTTTCCAGCAGTGCTACACAGGGTTTTACTTAAACATGACATAATCATAAGTAAGTTGTGTTTCAGAAGTGTATTTTTAGGTAAAATAAGTTAAGTACATTATCCAACATGTTTCCAACCATTTTACAACTGAGAGAAATCTGTAATTTAAATTATATAAATGGTCCATTACATTTGATCATCTAATGGTAAAGTATCCCCTTTGGCATGTTTTAGCATTGGGGCGTCTAATAGACTTTTAAGATCTTAGTCGTTTTTAAATGTATATTTAATTTAAGTCATAAGCAACTGTGTAAAATAGATCCAAAATAAAGTAGCACCTGTTGCTTATTTTGCATTTGTTTAAGCAGAAGAACTGCATACATAGGCAAAGTTTCTGCTTCTACTGTCATTCAGGCCTTAATATCCATGAGATGTCCCCGGGCCCATCAATTAAACATGGATCATTTTGAAAGGAGCACTTACTGTATTCTCAAGGCTGGTCAGAGCTGAGCTCATATCTCATCCTTTATTTAAGACACACTAATGGATTCTGCTGAATGCATCATCAGACTGAGCCCTGCTCGTAATTATTCAGATAACACGGAGAATGTGAGCTGTGGCCTTATGGCCACATGGAAGAGACATTACTCAGCATGAAGTGTGATCCTGCATTTAAAACTGCTCTGGCATGTGTTTGTTGAAATGAGTTGTGGATAATATGACTGCCAAAAATGACTAATTACTGAATGGTTAGATTACATAAAGATAACCTCAGAAGAAAATCTTTACAAAGATGATTTAAATTATTCAGGTTTGGATTTTTGCTTCCATCATTGGCCACTGGAAGTCAGTTTAATTCAAAGTGCAGTTTGAAGTCAACAACAAAAATAGGACCTTATAGGAATAGCTCAACATATTTGCAAATTAACTCATTTGTTTCCTTGCTAGGAGTTTGATGAGAAGACCACCGTGTTAATGCCTCTACAGTAAATATTAAAGGACAGTTAGCCTTTTCTAGCACAAAAACCCACCCTACCAAACGTTTTCTAATGCACACAATATACCAGGTTTCTTTAATCAGTACAAAACACAAACAATACACATAACAAGTTGTGTTTTTATGAGGTGTTGTGAGCTGAACTATTTCCTGGCACGGTGCAGTGGTTTCCTGACAAAACAATATCTCGTTTTTGGTACAAATTTGACGAGATATAATGTGCAAACAAGCTAACAAACTGTTGACTGTAGCTTTGAGAGAGGCAACAATCTTCTCAGCACAATTAGCCTAGCAATAACACTGGAAACATGAGAAAACTATTAGCCTGCATGCAACCATAATTAAAAGAAAAGGAAAACATTATACCAACACCTAATAAGCTCTCTAATCATCACATTATATCAGTTTTATTTAATTAATCAAACCATGAAAATAAGTTATGGCTTTACGAGGTGCTATGTGCTGGACTATTTCCTGGTTGGGAGCAGTTATTTCCTGCCATATTAACGTTTAGTTTTCGATACAAGTTAAACTAAATGAAATATAAAGTGCTAATTAGTGTGGTGATAATGAATTGTTTCTCCGGACTCAGACAGGATAGCTGTTTCCATTCTTAATGCTATAAGTTAAGCTTAGCTAACATGCTGGCTGTAGCATTAGAGAGGTACCAATCTTCTCATCACAGTTAGCTTAGCACTAACACTAAAAACACGAGCAAACTTAGCCTGTCTTTCACCAAAATCATTTAAAAAACAAAACAGATTACAAACACATCCAAAGCTCTATATTCAACACAAATCTTGTTTCTTTAACTAATCAAAAACGTAATGTAAAAAAAAAAGAAATTGGTTTTACGAGGCATTATGTGCTGGACTATTCCCTGCCTGCGTTTAGATATAACATCTTAATTAGTAAGCTGAGGAATACTAAGAAATATATTTTTTCTACATTTTGCCAGGTTAGCTGTTTCCCACTGTGTCCAGTCTTTTGCCTATGCTAAGCTAAGCTACAAACTGCTAGCTGTAGATTCATATTAACAGTAAGAGAGAGGCACTTTTCTCAGTCATGGAGCAAATAAGCTCAAGCAATTTATCTAAAAAGTAAGACTATTCATTCAACATTGCAGATTGTTTGTCTAGACATCAGGGTTGAATAGGTTTGGCTAGCATAGCGCCTTTGCTAAGCTCCAAATGAATGTTTTCCTCTCTATGTATTGTTCTCAGTCTTGGCTCAACAGCATTGTGTTCCTCAGTGGGAGGTTTGCGGTATTCCCAGAAAGCTGCACTAAGCCACAGGATATTCTAGCTTGCCTTCCTCTCGCCCTCCATCCTTTATGTGCTTTTGTGGATTTTGGAACTTATATGTTTTGCCCCACAAGTAGAGAGTATGTGGAAAGCAAGTCAATGCCACTTTCCTCAAAATCATATTTCAATTCAGTTTTTAGCTGCTGTGTTTATGCAGTTCCATTTTGACTTATGGTAAGGTCTATATAATTATGTCAGGTATTTATTTAAACTTTTACAGCCGCAGTTTGCGAGGTGCAAGTTGTTTGCGTTAAAGGGTATTCCTCCAGTACCTGTAAATGTGAGGTCCTTGTAAAACAGGTCCAGGCTGTTTTCTTTCCCAACAGGAAACAGCAGGAGGGAGAGAGAATATTTTCCTGTGTGTTTTTAGTGTTGCTCCTAAAGCCGTTGAAGTTTGGACAGTAATGCCAGTGGAGAGGCCATACATTAATAAGAGGGATATATATATATATCAAAAAAGTCTTAAATGCTTTCTCTAGCGCTGAGCCAGTGTAAAGAAAGAGCCACTATGAATCAGGCTGGCATGTCTCTGGCTCGTGTTTCACAAGGATCGTTTTATATTGCTCAGCTATTCAGCCCTTAGAAGTGATTAGATTTAGCTGAAATAATTTTTTTTCCTTATCAGACTTGACACATTGTGTATATTCATCCTGAAATGGTTATTTATTTGATATTCAGTGTACCTGTGGACTTAAAAGGAATCCAATGTTATTAAGTTGTCTGTTAGATTCTGCATTGCTGCTACTATTCAGTGTGGTTTGAGTTCCCTCTGATGTTTTCACCCCACAGTTGAAGTGCTACCACAAGCGTTACCGCAGCCCGTGCCGAGACGTGATATTCCGGGTGCAGTTTCACACCTGCGCCGTGCACGACCTGGGGATTGTGTTTGGAAAGGACGAGCTCGATGAGACATTTAAAGGTAAGGGATAGAGTTCTTTGAATGTCAATACAATTTACATCACATGTCATTTAGCTAATGCTTTTATTCAAATAAGCTGAAATTCCCTCTAATATCTTTAATGATGGAGCAGGTCCTTGGGATCGAATCACTGACCCCCTGGTTGGTTGACACCCATTTATCCCCTGAGCCACAACCGCCCTATTTGCCCCAAATTAGTTTGCGATAATGTATGAATAACAATTTCATAATTTTGCTGTTAACCAAAGAGTTCATTTTTATTTATTGTGTGCAGATGAGAGGTTTCCAGAATATGGGAAAGTGGAGTTTATTTTCTCCTTTGGACCAGAGAAATTACATGGTAAGAGCCAAGGTGCAATTTTGGAACAACTAACAAATATCATACTTCACCTTTATTCATATTTTTAGACCATTTTTGCGTGGCAGTATAGTATGTGGATGACGCAAGCCACGCTTCAACAACTGTCATTGAGGTGACAGTACTGTCAGTACTTTGAGTCATTTATTATTCTGAACACAGAACAAAGTATCGGACAAATCAAACATGCTGCAACAAGTGGGAAAAGTTTCAATAAAACAAATCTGCAGTATCTTAACTGTATCATGTGGCGGGATATATATTTCTTTCTTCACATTCTGAGTATAATACATGTTTCTCTCTTATGGTTAAAAGACATTCACATGTTCTGCTCTGCCTCTCTGTACTTCGGGTCCAGGTGTGGATCAACTTGAAAACGGGCCGAGCGTCTCGGTTGACTACAACACTCAGGACCCTCTGATCCGCTGGGACTCCTACGAAAACTTCAACCAGAACTGTGAGGACAACACAGACGGTACGTGAATCATTATACAATGTAATATGCATTAAACTCTACAGATTCTCTGCTACATACTTCACTAAGTAACGCGTGGCTCACAGAAATGATTGCTAACATAAAAACATGTACACACTGAGCTGTCATTAATACATTACTGGACATTTTCTCAATTTTTGTCCATGAGTTTAGGTAAGTTGCATTTTTAGAGCATGCTATATTAAGATGGCGAACATTATACCTGCTTTACAGAATGTAAACATTGGCATTGCATGCGTCATAGCATCCTGGCATTAGCATTTAGCTTCAAGCCATGTGTTATATGTTAGTGCTTCATCTTTAGCTTACCAAATCTATGATGGCAATGGATGAAGGATTTGGTGGGAACTCGTTTACCTTGTTGCACGCAGCACCTTCTTAAAATGAATATACATATAGTGTCTGTGGGTCTATTATACAAAGAAGGCAGAACCCCCCCTTCTTGTGTCTTGTAAAGTTAACAGGGTGTTAATGTTTACAGCCCTTACGGCCACTTTGGGTTAACATGCAATCACTTTCCCACAACTTGTACGCCTACAGAAGCGTCATGCATCAAAAGAAAGAATAAGAAGAATACGATTTTTTTTTTTTTCTGTTTTATGACTTAACAAGATTATTTTCTCAGAATTCTGGGAAAAGATTTATTTTTCTAGCAAAGCACACCTCAATAACAGGCTGCACGAGCTCTCTTCAATAGCTGTTTGTGTTCTGGTGTCTGAGAAATGTATTTTTAGGGACATACCACTCCTCACCTTCCTGGTGAAAGGTCACTTGGTAAGAATGTAATGTAAACTGTGCATGTGACTGTGGACATGCTCTTTAATGTGGTTGAGAGGAAGAAGCTGGGATTTGATTTAAGTGTCTCTCCTCTTGACACACACACACACACACACACAGACCTCCGTAACAAGGCTGCTTTTGTTGTTCTGCGTGACACAGAAGAACGTTTCCGCCTGCTTCCTCATGGAGTTTAAAGACCTTTTCACACTTTCATCACTTCAAACCTCCCACACGATAGGGTCAAACTGAAGTCAAATTAAAGTGTAAACCAGTATTGGAATGTTTACTGAGAAACCCTGACCCTAAAACGCTTTTGGAGTATTGATTAGTTTCTTTAATGCATCACAAAGTTACTGCCAAGCATCATATCGACGTAGGAGAAATACAAAGTCTGCTGATGCACAGTGTTTATCTCACGTATCAACCCTGATCAGCATCACACTGTTTTCCTGCTGCCCGACTTGTAAATAGTATATCATGTTTTGAAATGGAGGAGAGGAATTGGTATCTGAATTCATTTGTGGTGAGATGGTGGCTGCTGAGAAACCGAAGGCCCTGTGGGAGTTGAGTGCAGGACATTCCTGGACTCAGCAGCCACAGGCATGGACTTCCTGCTCAGGGAGCGGTGGTCACTCTGCCACCAAAGTGATACTTTCACTGCCACCCTAAAATAACAGGCACTGCTACGCCCTGGGAGATAGCAGGGAGCCTGCTGGCCTTCCAGAGAACTGCAGTAGTTGGGATGGTCAGCTTGTGGTTTTATCACTGTAATAACTATTCACCTGATATTCTGAATTAAAAGCTGATGTTTGGAGGGGATCATCAGTTCAGTTGGTAGTGCTGGAGGCCCATTTACTGGTGCTTTGTCCTGGTTGTGGCATACACAGGTTAGAATCTGGCCTGCAGTCCCTCTACAGCAGGGGTGGGGAACCTTTTTCCTCTCAAGGGCCATTTACATTTTTTCAACATCCTCCGAGGGCCGTACAAATTATTGACCTCTGCTTAAAAATACTAAAATCACAGCCCATTCATTCCAACCTTTCTTTCATGCTGTGCAAAGAAAAAGCAACCTCTTAATCCAGATATCTTACCATGACTCGCGTATGCATGCACGTGCACGGTTGTGGCATGACCACCAAAACAGAAAGATATGGACACAAGATGTGTGCAAATGTATTTAGTTTCCTATCCATGTGGACATGATTTAAGTGGGGGGGGGACCTAATCTCCTCTAGGGGGGTCCGGGGGGCATGCTCCACCGGGAAGATTTATTTTTTAAATGTTAAAGTTGAAAGCATCAATCTGGTGCACTTTGAGAGCAACATTAGGAGCTCTATGGATACATCTCTCAACACCCCCATGAAACAGAACTGTAAGCAGATTTTCTTTTTCTTTATGGATATTTTACAAATCACTCCCCTTTCAAACTGTATTCTTGTTTATTAATAACAACTTTTTTTTACTGTCATATAGTATTTTATACCCGTTTACTTTATTCTCTGTTCTGGTGCTCTCCGTCAGAACTACACCCCTGTCAGACGAGACATATAGCACGTGATGACACGTTTGGCTCGTGTTGTGTTCAAGGACCCTGTCCTTGGCCAGGAAAAACAGGCACTCGCTTGTTTAATTATTTTGCGGTCTAGATTTCTTTAATTTTTTTCTTTTTTGCGTGTGTTTATAAATTACCTCGAGGGCCGTACCAAATGGTCTCGCCGTCCGTATACGGCCCGGAGGCCGGAGGTTCCCCACCCCTGCTCTACAGTATATCCCCCTTTCAAATCTGTCCCCCAAAGGCTAAACTGGCTAAGCTGATATTTGTTGTTAATAGCTTTTAAAAACAGACTTGCTTATGTATTAAATAGCCATTAAGGGGACGTATTGGGATCTGATAAAAAAAACATTTAGTTATCCTTTGTTCAAGTTCACAAATAAAATCCCAAAGCTCCCTCCAGAGGGAGTTTCTGTCCCACAAACTCCTCCCCCTCTGTCTGGAACGCCTCCATTGGACTCCTTTCTTTACTTCTGTTACATAGTTTCATCACTATGTAATACTTGTTTGCCTTGCCTTGCCTTGTCTCCATTGGCTAGCGCTCCAACACATTGTACGTGATAGGATAAGAGGAGGGACATCTCTAAGCAGTTGACAAATCACAACAGAGCCAGCAGGCTAACCAATCAGAGCAGACTGGGCTCTGGTTTCAGACAGAGGGTGAAAAGAGGTGCTGCAGCACAGGCAGTGACATGTCCCAGTAGAGGCACAAAATGAGCAGAATAGGGCCCATTTGAAGGACATGTTGCATAATGACAGTGAAATTTTTGAAGAGGGATGTCTGCTGGACATTTATTGTCCTTGAAACCCCCCCCGCCACCATTCCCAGAGTGATTTTATTAGTCACCCAGATATCCAAAGGTCAGAGGTCACTTGGCTACCTTCTATCACTGCTCATAAAGTGTCTCGACTGCAGCTTGAAATAGGCCTTGCTAAAATAGAATAGGTGTAAGTCTCCTCTCATTATGTTTCAGTGAAGGTGTTTGTGTGTGTGTGTGTGTGTGTGTGTGTGTGTGTGTGTGTGTGTGTGTGTGTGTGTGTGTGTGTGTGTGTGCGTGTGCGTGTGCGTGTGTATAGCCTGGTGCAAGCTGCCTTTCCTATCTTGTCTTCTGTCATATGATGGTGATACTAAGGCTTCATTAGAATTTGATAGTATTACACACATATATACACCAACCCAATAATAGCTTTAGACCTGAGCAGAAACGCATGCTAAACAAGTCCACATACTGGTGGTGTGTCCGTTTAGCCTTCTGACTCTTTACAAAAAAATAACAGTGTTGCGGACAAAACGCATGTTCTTATTTAACCACCTAAGACCTGGAGTTCTCGATAAGCAACACAATGTGTCTCATAAGTATCCTTTGGGCGACACGTGACTTGTATTCAGTCAGACTGATACACTCTGCATGTTAAATGGGATGAGCTTGCAAATAGAATTCAAAGACACCGTTAAAAATGTGTCCCTCTCACAGAAACAAAAGAGAAAGGGTTTCCTGGAAACTGGAGTGTTTCCACTGTCATTTGGCTTCACACTTGTTAGTGCTAAAAAGGCACTTATGGCGCATTTCCATTGCAGCGCGTAGCTCGCTTTAAGCGTGCCGTGTCGTGCCGTCCCCTTTTTTGGTTGTGCTTCCACTAGGCCTCGTTCCGGCGCGGCACGGCGCGGGGCCACTTTTTCCCCTCTTTTCTGGCCCTAGAAAATTGTGGTTCTATCGGGGCCAACAAACAGAGCTGAGTCGGGCTGAGTATGCTAAACTAGAGAGAGGAGCGCTGGCAAGAGGGCTAGAACTACAACAAGATGGACATATTTGACCGTGATTTAATTGTAATACACGTTTCAAAATGATGCCGAAGTAACAACATACTGATACCGGTTAGTAAAAACCATGAATTAATGCTTTGTCAAGTCTGCAGACAGACGGCAGGCGAAAAACCTTTTAAAATTCGTGTTTTTCTAGATGGAGATTGGCTAAGCTAACGCAGTATATGCCCCGACCGTCCACACTCACAACAACGGCCTATACAGACATAAATACAGCAGCGACTGTATTCACCATGACACAGGCAGTCTGTGGTGTGTACTTGTTTAACTTTTGTCGAGTTTCTGAACATATATAAGGAGCTGTGAGCTCTGAGTGCTCACAGCTAACGGCTGTGTTGTGTTTCTGGATTTCTCATTGAAGATGACGTCACGGCTCCGCCTACACTGCGTTACTATAGTAACTACCCCAGTTCCTAAACTGTAATGGAAGCGCAGCATGAAGTGAGTCGGCCCTGTTAAGGCCCAACGTGGCCAAGCCGTACCGAGCCGTACCGAGTGTGGCCGAGGCCGACCGTGTAGTGGAAATGCGCCATTAGTGGCTTTTAAAGGCAAGAGGGAAAAAAAGAGGACGTAAGTCTTCCCAAGTGTTAGTTCGAAACAGCAAGTATTGTTGTTGTGGGGTTTGCATTGGCTTGTCTGAGGCAGGCGCTATGCTACTTACAACAAGCCTTTTCCTCTTAGCTTATCAAGGCATTGAATAAAGCTCAAAATTATAGGGCCAATGTTTTGTTGGGATCAACATTGGGTAAGTGCTGTCTGTGTGGTTGTTGGTTTCCAAAGATTGATGTTGACTTTCATTGTGTTTTGTTCCTTGAAAACAGC